GGGAGAAAAGAGCTCTTGAAAACTTCGAAATAAAACTTCCGCCCGGAATTATGCACAACTTGAACCTGTGAATTCCAGATCACAAGGCTTGGGCTTTAACCACAGCACTTGACATTCGCACTAGGCATTAACGCCAGCACTACGCAGAATCATTAGAAATTCTTCCCAACAGCAGGTTTTACACTCCTCTCAATACTACAATGGATTTTGATATATATTTCTTAAGTGGGACCTTTTTCTGTTCGAAGTCCATGTCCGATAAGAAAGTCGGTGGACAGTTGTTAATACTACATCTAAACAGCAAAATTTCAAAATTATCTCATCGGGGATTCGAACAAGGATCTCCCACATGGTAGCCCAAATTTTTAGCCCAACAACTGAGCTAAGTTAAAGGAGTCCGTCAATTGAAGACCAAAGTCAAATCGCATTTAAATGATTTCAAGAAAATAAGCAAAAACTTCCTTTTGTGAAATACTTCAAGCAAGTTCCTATTAGAGGGCTTAAGATCGTCATTTTCTGGACTTATCTGGTTTGTTGCATTTAGGCTTCACATCTTTGAACAAGAATAACTTGGCGTAGGAATAGAATAGCTCTTCGTCAGTATTACTGATAGATAGCCCTTTGCCGCCACTTTCGGATGATATGCAGAACTCTATTTTTCAGAAAATGTGACTTAACCTTGTTGTTGTTCTCGGGTCTTCAATTCTTCCCTTCCTCAGTTTAACTTCGTCTGCGACAAGAGCATGATGCGGTCCCATGCCAACATGGGTTTGTTTCTCGCCTCGCTGGTCGGAGCGCTCGTGATAGGAATACTGGCAGACATGTAAGTCTCGTTCGTCCACAGGCTCCCTATCTTGTCGAGCGTCACATTTTCAAACGTCTTAGTTTTAGTAGAGGTTTTACTGCGCTCGCAACTGCATAAGGTCATATGAGCGCCAGAAGATTAGCTGTGTTAAAAGAGAGTAACAAATATAAAAAAAGAAGACGAGGAGATAAGGACGATAGATGTTTCACAGGAAAGAAGAAGCAAACCACACCAGAGCACCCGCCAACCACCCACCTTTCGTATTTCAAAGGACGAGGGTAGTACGGTAAGTGTAAGCCACACCGAGATCCGCAACAACCAGCGTAGAAAAATGAAGGAAGACGCCAGCACAGAGTCAAAATGACATCTCTCTTTTGAGCTTCCAGGAGACCATTGAACTATGGGTTATTTAGTGTTACGTTTCTTTTTTTTTTCCTAGAGATGGTTGAGTTGTCTAGTCAGAACTTTTTTTTCTTGAAGTAGAGTTTTTTTAACATCCCCATCGACATACTCTATATCATTTGGGAGGTGGGCTTCCGACCTTGCCTGTCAGGGCCAACACAGACTGGGACAGGCCAACACAGACTGGGACAGGCCAACACAGACTGGGACAGGCCAACACAGACTGGGACAGGCCAACACAGACTGGGACAGGCCAACACAGACTGGGACAGGCCAACACAGACTGGGACAGGCCAACACAGACTGGGACAGGCCAACACAGACTGGGACAGGCCAACACAGACTGGGACAGGCCAACACAGACTGGGACAGGCCAACACAGACTGGCAGGGACATACAACATCCCAGGAGAAAGACCGAGACATTCCATAAAAGTTCGCCCCACTCGGGAATCGAATTCGAGTCTCCTGCTTGCAACAGCCAAACGCCTAACCGTTTGACTGCAGACGCCGTGGAAGATGAGCATGAGTGTCCCTATTAAAAGCAACAAACGTTATCTTTGGTAAGTGAGGCACACGAAATCTAGATCTATTGCATCTTCGGTAGTTTTTTTTTTTTTTTCAGTAAGAGTTTCGCGGCACTTGCAAATACAATAAGTCACATAAGTGCCGATGATTAGAGGTGTTACAAGAGAGTAACAAACAAACAAACAAAAAGAAGGAAGAGTGATCAGGGCGATAGATATAGATTTTGATTGGAAAGAAGGAGCACACCTCACCAGAGCACCCATCAAACCACCCATATTGCATCTTCAATAAAACGACCTTGCACGACTGGTTAATGGCAACTGTTTTACAACCCCCAATGACGCAGTTGAGATAAATTAGAAGGAGGGCTATTTTGACATGTGCCTGCCAGGATCAATGTGGGCTACTCCAAGGGAGAATCGAAGTCATGTGTAATAATGAAGAGTAATTATTAGACCTGCAACGCAGTTTCCTTAAATTTCCGGGTCTTCTTTATAGCATACACTAGAACGTAAACTCCTTCTATTTAATTTTGATTTTACCAAGCTTAATTTTCTGGTATTGGGCAGGAAAATTACCTTTGATTTTGTATAGCCGCCAATTTCGTTCAGGGAATACTTTTGATACACCCTAAATTTGAGTCCTTCCTGCCAGGATCAACTCAGACTGAACGAATGGGTGGTTGGTGGGTGCTCTGGTGTGATTTTCTCCGACTTTCCTATCCAACATCTATAGTCCTAATCTATCCTCCTTCTTTTTGTGTAACTTACTCTCTTGTAAAACCTCTATATTCGACACTTATATGACCTAATTGCGTTACAAGAGCCGTAAAAAACCCACAGCAGGAGAGCACTTAAGAGCCATTACCTGAGTGTGGCCCGGCCCCCTTAGAGTGTCAGGAAGTTAGGGCCGAAACACTTGCTTGAGGGGGGTTCTTCCTCTGAAATTCTCCTGCTGTCCGCTCACCCCACGAGTTTTCTCCCACTAAATTAAATGTGCCCCTCACACTCACTATATAGATTCTTCTGAAGTACATGTAGTAAAAACTTTGGTTTTGGCTTTTCGTGATTCTTCGAGGGTTTTTTCGTTTGTTTAGCTCTGTTGCTGGGATCTTTGCAGTTATTTATTTATTTGTTGTTTTTTTTTGTTATGTTATTCCTTTGAGGGGAAGATAGTGAAGTTATTTACAGGCACGTTTACAAAGGAGGTAAATTACGATAAGCTGAGATAAGATAAGTTATTGTCCAGACGATGGTAAATCGGTTTGGTGCTTCACACACGCACACACACACACACACACTCACACACACACACACACACACTCACACACACACACACACAC